TGGCTCAAGTGGTTAAGATGCTGACTCTGTTGATTGCAAGATTGGCACGTTGGCAGTTCGAGGCCCGGTTGCTGCACAATGGAGTGAGCTCCTGTCACTAGTCCCAGCTTCTGCCAACTTAGCATGCAAGTACAAGTAGATAAATAAGTACCACTTCAGTGGGAAGGTAAACAGCGTTCTGTGCAGTCATGCTGGCCATCATGTCAACAGGAATGCCTTTGCCTTTATAGAAGAAATGCAGTAAAATTATTTAGGTTCATTTGATGGAAGGAAAATTCATCACTTTATGAAAAGGCACTTTCCAAATCCAGGATCATGACGTAGGGCAAGGATGGGTAAAATGTGGCCCATCCCTCCAAGAGGAAAAAAAAAGCCCAAAATTGGTTTTAAAAATATTGTTTTTCTCCAGAATGCCCCAAAATAACATCTAGGGATGTGGCACACATTTCCACCATGTCTGGAGGCCCTTTGAGTCCTCCCAGGTGCAAGACAAATTTTTGCATTTTTAAAAATTGCCTCAAAATACCCCAAATTCCATCGGGAGAGGGGGAGGAAGGGCCAAAAACATGATGAGAATGCCCTCATGTCCCCTAGAGCCTGTTGAGAGCACTTGGGGGGGGTGCACAAAATATTTTATTTTCTTTTTTACAGGAACAGGTTCAGTCAGAGGTGCAGTCCTCTGAAGAGTCCTGGGGTGTTAATGCCTTCCACAAAGTTTTCCATAAGGGTAAAAATAGCTATTGAAGTCTAGCCCACAGAGCCCAGCCCCAGTCTGACGGGAATATCCTCATGATGAAAATATGCCTAGATGAAGACATACGCTGTTACCGAAGCCTGCAAAATTACCTCTTCTGGGTATGGTTTGCTAATCATTGCATCACCTCTAACAATTCCAACGCTTTTCTCAGAGAGTGAAATGTGCTTCTGTTTATTGTTGTGGTGGAACCAGAGTTCACAGGGTTCACAGGGTCAAAATGTCAAGACTTTTTAAATTAGCAGGAACTAGGGAGCCATTCAGATGTCATTTTTTTAAGATGAACAGTGCAAATAATCCCACTCACACATTTTGGGTTTGCTATTTACACTATGGAACCACATCTTTGTGCTTATCTGTGAGTTTGGTTGCTCACATGTGCCAGCACTCAAATGAATATGGAGTTGACGATGTGAATGCATTCAAAATGTGTTCAAGGTATGCAGAGTTTAATCCTGGATCTATTCACATTGGTTATTCATGCTGCCAATGATGCAAATCTTTTTTAAAAACTTGGAAAAACTCAAGGTATCAATTATCCCAGGTTAAGTGAGATTTTTGGCAGCCCTCCCAACTTAATTGGAAGCATTTGGGATGCATGTGAACAATGGAGATTTAACCCAGATTCATCCTGGATTATTTTCACCGTCTGAATAACCCCAAGATGCTATCTGCCACCAGTCCCCTCCAGGTTCCCTGTTCCACCTGAGTTCAGCTGCAATGGTCACAATACTGAGAGAGATGTGAGGGTGACAACAGATATTTTGTGCAACAATACATTATTTTGGGCTATCCTTGCCATAGTGCAAGTATTCTGAATAGCTTGATTTTGAAAGAATATTGGCTGTTGGTCCATAGAGTGTTTTCAGGAAAGAATGAAATAGCTGTAGCCAGTGGGCACAAATACAGTTCTGATTCCTGGAATACTGGAAAAACAGAAAGGCCTGCAAAAGACAAATAATAGTCTTAGGTACCTTAGTCATAGTATCCAACATTGTTCAGGAGAATCATTAACCATTGTTAATGATTAGTCAGTTTCAACTCCTCTGGAGGAAGACTGCTTATCTCTTTGGGAGCTCAGATACTCCCATGCCATGTATCAGTCTGTTACCCTTGAGAGAGAATGGATTTCCCAGCTGTCTGTCAAAGACACTACTCTGCATGGATGAATAATAATTAGGATCCCTTCCTACCTCCCCCGCCCATGAGGTGTTCATGTACGCCATATAACCAACTTGTTAAGTCAGAGCATCCCAAGCAACACCTACAAATTTGGTGAAAATCTGTTGAAACGTTTAGGTGCGATGTAGTACCGAACAGACAGACAGACACTTAATTTTATTTTCATAGTTATGGCAAAACATCAAGAAAGGCAACTGTTCTGAACACAACTCAATGAAATTGTTGTTGTTGTTGTTGTTGTTGTTGTATGCCTTCAAGTCATTTCTGACCTATGGTGACCCTAAGGTGTACTAATCATAGGGTTATTTGGGTCTGAGAGTATGTAACTCACCCAAGGTCAACCAGTGGGTTTCCATGGCCAACTGGGGAATCAAACCCTGATCTCCAGAGTTATAGCCCAATGCTCAAACCACTACACCATGCTGGCTCTGCCTGGGCTAAACTACTCTATATTAATTTGGAAAAAGAACAAGTGAGGTAGCAGCTCAGCTCTCTGCAAAGTAGATTTCCTGTACTTCATATACCTTATATTTTAAGTTAGATTGTTCAAATCATTTCCTCCAAATCTGGGGAAAATCTAACGGGAAAAAAATAATTGGAGTGTCCCACAAAGCAAATTTCACATATATCACATAACCTATATTTTCTATCACACCAATACAAACAAACACTTCAAATTATGTGAAAATCTGCCCAGCTGTTTCCTCACCTATGAAGTGACAGAGAAGTAGACAGACAAACCCTGAAATGTGTGCAGCTACCTGAGACTGGATTAATCCTTATCTGTACATGGGAAGCTATAGAAACCTGCCTGTATTTTTGGGTTCTCCCTGGAGTTGTGTATATGAAGTCTGCCTGGAGAAGTGCCTCCACTTTGAAATGTAATTTGTTGTTAATTGCCATCATGTTGACTTTAACATATAGCAACTCTATAAATGAGAGATCTCTAAATCACCTTGTGATCAACAGCCCCGCTCAGGTCTTGCTGACTCAATGCTGTGGCTTCCTTGAGTGCCATTCCTCTCTATCTGGAATGGATTCTTCTTCTTTCCCTACTGCCTTTACCTTACCAAGTATTAATATTTTTTCTAGTGAGTCATGTTTTCTTATGATCTGGCCAAAGTACGACACACTCAGTTTAGTCATTTTGGCTTCTAGGAAGAGTTTAGGCTTGATTTGCATACTACAATAGTTAATAAGTAACAATTGTGCATATTTTTGTGTCATTGTCACCAATATAACTTTCAACCCTGGTAACAGCCTAGCGCTGTGTGGGGTGGAAATATAACACAGAGACATCAAGGATAAGAGATGGCACAGCTTTCCACAAAATTTGCATGTACAGAGATAAATGATAACTGTGAATTAAATAGAAAAACATATTAAACATAGCAGGGTGGGGGAAATGACCAGCTGACTTGTGTTTCTGCTGCTCAGTTCTGCTACTCAGGTGTTGTTGATATGTAATTCCCATAATCCCCAGTTTAGCAAGGCAAATTGTCATGTTAGCTGGCTAAGCCTGGGCGATGTAATCCAAAAAAGCAATTTTTCCTAATTCTTTTCTGGGAGAGGGGCTTTTACACTCTTCCAAGTTTGTTCTGCTGTTATCTGGAATCTATGATGAGCAGCAAGAGAGAAAAATGTTTCAAATTAAAACATATTTTTATTATGAATTATGAAACCCCTCCTGGTGGTTAGAGCTGTTTGACTGTAGACTAGAAGGTGGTGGACTCTCATTTGTTGGAGGTTTTTAAATAAAGGTTAGATGGCTGTAAAGGATACTTTAATTCTAAGAGATACTTTAGCTATGGGTTCTTGCACTAGCTGGGGTTTGAACTAGGCAGTGCCTAGAACCCCCTTCACCTCTATGATTCTATTATTTAAAAGCCAGGAACTTCTTGCATAGCATCTAAGGTCAAGAAGCAGTTGCTTGGGAACTGAACTACAGTGCATCCTATGAAACAGTTGCACTAAGCCAGAGGTAGGCAACCTAAGGCCCGGGGGCCGGATGCGGCTTCCCGAGGCCTTTGGACCGACCCCAGGCTGGTCCTGCCATCACCGCTGCCCCCCCCAGTCGCCTGCCATGATGAAATTGATTATTGTTGTTATTACTTGTTCTTGGGGTTTTCTTGGCAAAATCTCCACAGGGGTTTTGCCATGGCTTTTCTGGGGCTGAGAGAGTGTGCATGCATATTTTTTAATTTTTTTATTTATTTTTTATTTTTTTATATTTATTTATTTATTTATTTGTTTGTTTGTTTTTGGTGCTTTGGGCCCCCAATTGTCTGAGGGACAGCAACCCGGCCCCCGGCTCAAAAAGGTTGCCTATCCCTACACTAAGCTGTATTCCTGAACATACATGCATAGCACTGAGATGGGTTTTGTATGACTGGTTTGTAAATTTCCAAATTGTTAAGAATTATATCTGCTCAAGAGAGCCTGCATGACATAATGGTTTGAGTGCTGGACTGTTACTCTGGAGACCAAGGTTCGATTCCCAACTCAGCCCTGAAGCCCACTGGTTGATCTTGGGCAAGTGACATGCTCTCAGCGTCAGGGCAAAACAATGGCAACCCCCCTCTGAACCAATCTTGCCAAGAAAACTCCATGATAGGTTTGCCTTAAGTGAGAAACGACTTGAAGGTACATAACAACAATATTCGGTCAACTTTGTTTTGGCAGCACCCTGTCCTCTTAGTCACAGCCACAGTTGGAATCTTTCTATAATCTAGAATTTGGCCCCAGGGTCAAACTCGAGGAGCTAAAGAAATCCTGCTTCTTCAAGCCAGTCTGAAAGAGTCCCGGATTTTGTTATTAGCTGCCTTCTAGTTGACCTTGACTCATGGTGAGGCTGTGAACGAGACATCTCCAAGACCCCCTTTAGCTCTGAATTACAGAACAGGAAACAATGTGTGACACAGAAACTGTTCTGCAATAGTTATTCCCTATGAAAGAAACCTTGACAACACATTGAAGTCAACAGGGTAAAAATTGGGGACAGAAACCGAGGATCCCAATCAGATTTAAACACGAGGTGCCCCAATGCAGTGGAGCTGGTTTGCCATATTTTGAAAGACATTTTCCCATATAAAGTTAACAACCCCACATACCCAGTAAAAAGACTAAGTTCAGCATTTGAAATGAGTGAACTCCACCATCTTCTCTTGTTTTCTCCCATTGTCTCTTTCTTCTTTCCTCAACCATAGTATCTTCATTTTCTCCACTGCTGAAATATGATTTGTCTGTGACCATAGAGATTTAACTGTGACCAGTCTTACTCTGCTGTGAAAAAAAAAGCCAAATATTGATTGTATAGTAGTTAAAGTTTATTATGTAATAATAAGCAAAGTTATTAATTTTACTGGATCTCAGGATGGAAACACTATAGTCAGCTCCATTAGTTTTTTTCTTATTTTACATGATGTCTGGAGAGTGCATGCAGACACATCTGTGATGGAGCTGTAATGTGTAATTTATGTAAAGGAACCCACACAAACAATCTGTGGTGTTTTGGAATCAAAATGTATGTTCACAGTGTGTATACTTGTGTATATAGAATCAAAGAATCATACAATCTTAAAGATAAATTGACCACAAGGATCATGTAGTCCAATTCCCTGCCATGCAGGAATATGCAATTCAAGCACTCCTAAAAGATGCCCATCCAACCTCTCTTTAAAGACCTCCAAAGTAGGGGGGCCCAGTTCTCTCTGAAACAGTCCATTCCACTATGGGAAAAGCTTTTACAATAAAGAAATTATGTTTTGGGATATATTGTATGGTTTTATTGTTGTAAGCCACCCTGACTGGGTCCCCAAAGGGCGGGATATAAATAAATTTTATTATTATTATTATTATTATTATTATTATTATTATTATTATTATTATTATTATTGCTGCTTAGGTAGAACCTTGTAATTTGAATCCATTGGTTTGTGTTCTAGTGTCTGAAGCAGCAGAAAACAAGCTCCCTCAATCCAGCCCCCAAATGTCTTGCTCCATAGGATCTTCATATATTTTTCATATTATCATTAATGGGAAAATCAACGGAAGACTTCCAGCTCACTTTTTGCCAGCCAATGCAAGTTTTTATGTTTAAAAAAATCAGCTGAAAATGCATCATGCAAAAAGTGAGTTGGAAGTCCTCCGTTGATTTTCCCATTGATAAGAAGCTTGTGGGAGATAGATAGCAAAATGGCAATGACCTTGAAGAGAAGCTACAGGTGATTTGATAACTATGAAATTAAAAACTGAAGTAACTCAAATCTATTCTGCAAATACTTCTGAAAAGCTCTGAAGCAAGAGCCCTACAATTAATCCCAAGGCACCTTTCAGTTCAGGCCAATAATGCCAAGCTTGAAGTTGATCCAACAAAGTTTGCTTCATATGGAATAAGAAATAGGTTGGACAGTTTTCCTCATTATGAGATAAAGAGTGAAACGGAGCCTGGCAACAGTTCTAACATGGTACAGTGGGCTTCTTTGTCAGCAAAATCCACCATACGCCAGCCAAGGGACACAAGCTGCTTGGCTGTGCCAGCCAGAGTTTAGGGATATATAAAGCTTATAAATCTTTATGACCTGTCTTATAAGAAATAGGGGCATATTAATGATATGGTTAGTTATTAGTTATTGGTAGTAACTTCAAGGACTGTCAAAAAATGAGCAGCACTCAGCCTTAAAAGTCATCTAACTGAATCCTATGTAAAGACTCAGACAAAGAGACAAAATCATAGTTTTCCTAACTAGAAAACTCCAGGGGGGCTCTTAGATCTGGTAAGTATGGTTACTATCCTTAATTAAAACATAGTGTATCTATAATTCACCCTAGTCTTGTGCTGCAATTGAATTTGTGTTTAATTCGGTTGCACATTACAAAGTCTTTTTATAAGTAAAGAAACTACGGGCAGAACCCTGTTGGTTTTTTGTTGCTGTTTGTTGTTGTGTGTCTTCAAGTTGTTTCCAGCTTATGGAGATCCTAAGGTGAAGTCGGAGAGACAGTGTGGTGTAGTGGTTTGAGTGTTAGACTGTGACTCTGGAGAACAGGGTTTGATTCCCATCTCAGCCATGAAACCCACTGGGTGATCTTGGGTGAGTCACACTCTCTCAGTCTCAGAGGATGGCAATGGCAAACCTCTTCTGAACAAATCTTGCCTAGATAGGTTCACCTTAGGATCTTGATAAGTCAGAAACGACCTGAAGGCATACAACAAAGGTGAACCTATCACATGATTTTCTGAGGCCAAGAGTGTGTGACTTGCCCAAAGTCACCCAGTTTTCATGATTGAGATGGAATTCAGAGTCACAGCCTAATGGTCAAACCACTACACCACATATGCATAGTTACTATGCTGCACATTGAATACCAAGAAGTAGTCACTGTGACCAAAGTGGGGCTGTTTCTTTCTTGCTTAGGAAGCAGTTGACCACTCCCTCCCATGTGCAATCTCTGATATGACAGGCAGAAGTATGGTCCCTGTCTCAATTCCCCCTTGCACCCAAGATAGCTTGCAGCTAGATACTTCTGGAGCAACAAGGAGATGGACCACTTCCAATTGTAGTGGCTGCTTCCTAGTTAGTGGAGTTTGGGGGACTTTCATGGTGTAAACTAGGACTGTAAATACTAAACAACCATGAATGCATAACTCCAGGTTATACACGTGTAACCACCCAACAGGATTCTGGCTTATATGCTTTGGTGAGGAGGTGTCACTGATATTTAAAAATTATGGGTCCATAATCTTTCAGATGTAGTATCTTTTCCAGAGTGACTCTTGGTCTGCAAAAGAACAGGCATGTTCAGGTAACTGCCCACCTTGTGGCTGACAAAGTACAAAAACTTTTTTTCAGGAGACCCTCTCTATGAAGGCAACATTTCCTACATGCAGAGCAAAGCATTTCATTGTGGTGCCTTGAGAGATACCGGTAGTTTATGATCCAGAACCAGGCTTTTAGGCCTAGCTGGTTCTGCAGAGTACCCCATAGAGGAGCTTATCACTCCACTAAAATAAAGCGTCTTACCCCTCCAGAATTTAATTTTAATTCAGGCTGCATCCAGATACTATTGCAGGGATTTTGTCACCGAAACCGCTGCCCAAATCCAGCCCGGATCCAGCCCTGGACTGGACCTGGGCTAGATTTTGGTGGCGGTTTTTGTGGCAAAATTCCTGTGATAGTATCTGGATGCAGCCTGAATTAAAATTGAGTTCAGAGAGGTAAGACACTTTATTTAGTGGAGCGGTAAACTCCAGAGTCTCTCTTGCTTCTGTCCAACTTAGACCAAGACAGAAGGTGGGTGAGAAATTATGGTGATGTAGTGGTAGACATCACCATAATCTCTCTTCCTGCCTCTTACGGTATTGGGGAGAGCTTTAGCCACTGATCTCTATCAGTGGTGGCTGATAAGCACTGAGGCTGGTGGCAGGATTGCCTGGGAAGAGAGCAGGAGAGAGGCAAAATTCATCAAAGGTGGAGAAACTGCATCCAGTGTTCTACCCATTGTTCAACTAAATACACCTTCATACACTGGTTTAGAGGTTTTTACAGCTTTATCCTGACTGAACAAATAGTATGACCACCCCTCCATTCCGTGCACAATCTTGATTGTCCTGAATCTCCTTCCAGATCACTTCTGGACCACTGCACTTTGCAATGCGAGAAAGGTACAATTTGGTTTTTCTCAGAAAGAGATGGGTACAGAATGATTATTTTACCACACTGAACCCTGGTATCAGTTCCTGAGCAGATAAATACCACAGTTTGGAATGTGCATTTGGTTTCTGAACATTTTTTCCCAATGAAATCACAGAGTTTATGAAGACCAAAGATTTATGGTTTCAATTGTGAAGGCTCCAACTCACAACGGAGCAATTCCATTGCTTTATAACCATGCAAGAGGCACATACATGAGTTAATTTGAATGCAGAAGTGGAACTTGGTTGTCATATGGTATAGAGTCGCTAATTTGATAACAGTTTGAAAATGCACAGTACATTCCCAGAGTCATTGGTATGGAAACAACACAAACACTGTCAATCTTTTGCATTGGGTATGTGCTATGTCTTGCTGGACTAGTCTAATTCAAAAAAGAAGTTTAAAAAGACTGGAAAAACCACAATGGAGATCTGTAAGAACTATAAATTAGCTGAGATTTAGAATAAATCAAGGAAATGCCCATAAGCTTAAAAATCTATACATCCAGTTCATAGATGAATATTGCATCAGGAAATCATCAAAAGTGCTGATTACTGAAGTCTCTAGCATTTATTTTCTCTCAAAACAATTCCCCCCTCTTTTTTTTTGGACCCACAAGGAAAACTGAAGCTGATGACAACTCATGCATTTGTTGTTAATTCTCGTAACTGTTGAAATATTCCAGCCAAACATTTATAGCTTCATCTTTCCTATATTTTCTGAGATCACTTCATCCTATTTCCTTCCCCCTAAATCAGGTGTCTCCTTTGTCTGAACCAAAGACCAAGCCAAATGAGAACATTTCTTTTCTCTTACAGCTGCACCTCTTAATTTACCTCCCACCCTTTTTCACTTGAAATTTGCTGGAGGTCTTGGCAGGCCACTTATGAAAACTCTT